TAAGGGAGCATGGCGTTGGCTTTGCTATCAGGAACAGGTTGTTAGGGTCCATAGTACCGCCCACGGAGGGGTCTGCAAGGATCATCAAACTTCAGCTTCATACAGCAGTAGGAATGGTCAGCCTCATTAATGCCTATGCACCAACACTGACCTCTACCGAAGCGAAGGACGAGTTCTATGATGACCTCGGCCTAACTCTCAGAGACATACCTCAACAAGAGCCAGTCTTCCTCCTGGGAGATTTTAATGCAAGAGTTGGTTCTGATCACAGTTCTTGGCCTTCCTGCCTGGGCCAGTTTGGATTTGGGAAGATGAATGAGAGTGGGCAGCGCCTCCTCGAGTTCTGCTGCCGTCATGATCTCTGCATCACCAATTCCTTCTTCGACACCAAGCCCCAGCATAAGGTTTCCTGGAGAAAATGTTTCTAAGCATTGGCACCAACTCGACCTGGTGCTTACGGGGCGTAGCAATCTGAGAAACGTCAAACTGACCCGCAGCTTCCAGAGCGCAGATTGTGACACCGACCACTCTCTTGTCGTTTGCAGAGTAAAGTTCCGGCCCCAGAAAATTCACAGAGCAAAGAAGGAGGGAAGACCACGCATGCATTAACGTAAACAAGACCCGTGACCTTCACAAGGTGGAGGAATTCATTGCGGCGCTGGTAAATGCCCTTCCTGTACCACCTTGCGATAGCGCATGGAAGAGGTGGTCACATCTCAGGGGCACTATTTTCAACACTGCCATGTTCATTTTCGGTAAGAGGGAGAACATGTCAGCAGATTGGTTTGAGGCCAGTGCAGAGGAACTGTTACCCCTTGTAGAGGAAAAGAGACGAGCTCTCTCATCCTACAAGAACCTGCCCTCAGGAAGGAACCTACAGGCCCTCCGTATTGCCCGCAGTAGAGTTCAACAAACTGCGAGGCGCTGTGCTAACAATTCCTGGCTTCGACTCTGTTCCAGCATCCAGACTGTGGCTACTGTCGGCATCATAAGAGGCATGTACGAAGAGATCAAGCAAGCAACAGGCCTTACACAAAACGTGACGGCTGCCCAGGCACTGGAGAGATCATTAAAGACCGTGATCAACAGATGAATCGCTGGGTGGAACATTACTCCGAACTCTACTCCAGAGAGAACTTGGTCAGCGTAGAGGCTTTGGATGCAATCGAATGCCTGCCCATCATAGAAGAACTTGATCTTGAACCAAGTGTGGAAAAAGTTGAGAAAGCAGTAGATTCACTTTCCTCAGGGAAGGCCCCAGGAGACGACAGGATTCCGCCTGAAGTTCTCAAGTGCACTCGTGGAACACTTAAAACTGAGCTTCATGAACTTCTGTCCCAGTGCTGGAGGGGGGGGGGCTTGGTGCCACAAGACATGAGAGATGCAAACATCATCACTCTCTACAAAAATAAAGGTGACAGAAACGATGTCAACAACTATTGCAGCATCTCCCTCCTCAGCGTCGTCGGCAAACTCTTCGCCAGGGTCGTCTTGGTCAGGCTCCAGATTCGTGCCGAAAGAGTGTACCCCGAGTCACAGTGTGGTTTGCGAGCAGAGAGGTCGATCACTGACATGGTGTTCTCCCTGAGACAGCTTCAAGAAAAGTGCAGGGAGCAGAGAAAGGCCTTGTACATCGCCTTCATTAACCTTACAAAGGCCTTCGACCTCGTGAGCAGGAACGGACACTTCAAGATCTTGGCCAAAATTGCCTGCCCATCCATCCTACTCAGCATGATACAATCGTTCCACAAGGACATGAAGGGAAAAGTCGTGTACGACGGCTCAACTTCTGAACCATTCAACATCAACAGTGGTGTTAAACAGGGGTGTGTTCTTGCTCTAACCCTGTTTGGCATCTTCTTCGCGATCCTCATCAAGCATGCCTTTGGAACAACTACAGAAGGCATCTATCTCCGTATAACATCTGATGGAAAGCTCTATAATCTATCCAGTCTCCCTGCAAAGACAAAAGTACAGATGTGAATCCTCAGGGAGTTCCTCTTCGCCGACGACGCAGCGATCACCACACACACAGCAGAAGGCTTGCAGCAGCTACTCGACCGCTTTGCCGCAGCCTGTTCCGCATTCGGCCTGACAATCAGCCTGAAGAAGACACAGGTGATGGGACAAGATGTCAATGAGCTACCCTGTATCAGTATAGCAGACTATGTGCTGGAGGCAGTTCACGCATTTGTGTACCTGGGCTCCACAATCTAAGACACCCTTTCCCTGGACACTGAGCTCAACAGTGCTGAGCCGCAACAACACTGGCCAGGCTCACAAAAGTGCGTTTGGGAAAATGCCACACTGACAGTGCACAGCAAGGCACAAGTCTACATGGCATGTGTGGTGAGTACACTTCTCTACGGCTCGGAATCCTGGACCCTGCAGGAGAGACGGCTCAATACCTTTCACATGCGGTACCTGAGACGCATCCTTGACATCACGTGGAAAGACCACATCACCGACAACACAGTACTCGAGAGAACAGGAGTCCCTTCAATGTTAACTCTCCTATGAAGCAGAGACACATGCGATGGCTGGGATATTTCACATGCATGGACGATGGCCGCATACCGAAGGACCTCTTGTATTTAAAACTGGCACCAGGAAGGAGACCCACCGGAAGACCTCGGCTGCGTTTCAGAGATGCCTGCAAACGTGACCTCAAGCAGATGAACATCGACACTTGGGAGGCAGCAGCTGCGGACAGGTCCGCCAGGAGATGCAAAGTGCAGAAGGGACTCCAGCAATTCGAGGATGAACTGAAGAGGCAGGCGGAGGATAATAAACTTCAGAGGAGGTCTCGACCACTGTCAGACGCACCCGCTTCGGTGTTTATCTGCGCTCGCTGCAGTTGGGACTGTCATTCTCGGGCTGGCCTTCACAGCCACAGCAGGTGCTGCATCCAACTAGACTACAACAACTAGACAGCCAGAGCACAACCTTATAACCCCACGGGATTGACGGATGCCTACTACTATGTTACCCAGGGGACACTGTACCTCGTATCCCAGATATACGGGGCCTTAAGTTACCCGTGGGACACTGTACCTTACGCAGAGAAACCATATTAAAGTGATATATCAAAGACCAAATCGACAGGAGCCTTGATGAGGGTTCGAACCTGTGCACTGGGTGTTCCCAGACCTGCGCTAGACAACTGTACCACCACATCGTCCAAAAAATTGCAACCTGGAGTGTTACTGCACCCGCGAGGGTCCCGAGGCCTCCACTGTCTGGGAACACTCAGCGCTTAGGTTCGAACCCCTTATCATGGCTTCTGTGGATTTGTTCTACTGTAACTTATACCTTGATAGCTACGGTCCCAGCTACAGTGCCATGTGCATTACAATTAACCAAAGCTGCGGTGGTAGTAAATGTTCTACCATCAGAGGGATGACCGTGGACCATTCCTCCACACGCCTACGGTCAGAATTAATGACTTAACACTGTTTAATAATATTTTTGAGGCGTGTGTTTGATGTGTGTGTGTGTTGTGTGGGTCCGTGGTGGTGTTGGTGAGGCGTGCGGCACTCCTGTGTGTAGTGTTTGTGTGTTGGTGTTGGTGATGGTTGTGTCTCTCCTGTAGGCTCGCTTCTGACCTTGTGAAGCAGAGCAGCCGGATGTCTCGACGTTGTCTTAGTGGCTGTTGAGTGTTTTGTCTCGTCTTAACTTCTTGTGCAACTTGGTAAAGATTCTTTGGTGTGCTCTCTCTCTCTCTCTTTGGCTCTCCTCTCCTCCACTGGCTCTCCTCTCCTCCACTGGCTCTCCCCTCCTCCCCTGGTTCTCCCCCTTGCCCTGGTTCTCCCGCTCCGTCAGTCCCTCCACACCCCTCTAACTGTAGTAGCAGCCCTACCTTACCTGTAAGTTCTTGTGACCTCTCCACGTAATGCTAGTTTTTGGACTCACTTCCTCACCTGATCACTGTAAACATGGGTTCCAGGTTGTCAGCACTAAAACTAATTGCCTGATTACTAGAGTTGTCAACACCGAAACTTGCTTCACACGTCCACTCTTGGTGTTGAAACATGCTTCAGGTTTCGCCTCAAGATGTTGGAACCTGCCATAAAGTTTTGCTGAGGCTTGCTACAAAAAGTTCTAATCATGAGAGTGAAACTTTTATATTAAGTTTTGCTTGTGATGCTGAAACTTGATACAATTATGCTCTTGAGACTTGTATCAAAGTTCTACTCATGATTCTGAAACTAGCTACAAAGTTCTGCCTCTAATGCTGGAACTTGTGCTCACCTTCCATTTATAAGAGAAGAGAACTTATACTACTATTTTTTTTTAGTTTAGACTAGTTTAACACCTCTTATCCTAAGACTCCCTGGTGTCAGAACTCTACCCTCAAGTACTGAGAAGAGTTCTATGCCTCCACCCTGAGACTCCGTGGTGTCAGAACTCTACCCTAAGACACCCTGGTGTCAGAACTCTACCCTCAACAACTGACACTTCTGCCTCCCTATCCTAAGATTTCCAGGTGTCAGAACTCTACCCTCAAGAACTGAGAAGAGTTCTGCCTCGCCTTGTCCCCACCTGAAACCAGCCTTACCCTTCCATCCTGAGATCTGAGACTAACCTCACTACTCAACCCTCACTGGTGAGATAAGTGTCACACCCTTGAGGACGGAGTTTGTGACTTGAGTTAGTGCTACCACTCCCCCTCACCGGTCTGGCCTGCCCTGGAGACCACACCAGGTCATCTGTCAGCCAGAAGGGTCGCATTGCTAAACAACAATCACACCTTAAAGGGTTTTCTGACCTCGAAGAATGACTTAAAAGTGTATCATTTAACGCAAATTTCGTCTTTGTTGACATTAATTCTGCCACAAGTTTTAGTTCAATATTTTCAAATAATTTTTTCGAGGTCGTGAGGGAGGTCAGAAGCCTTTTAGTAAAGTGTTTTAGCAATGTAACTCTCTACACGTCACCCCAATGCATATCTGCCCTGTTTACTGAGTGTCCGAAGCTGATCTGATTTCTCAATGTTTCAGGGCTCGAGGAGGAACCTGGTAAAGTTCTATTTCGCATGTCCAATGCATAGTTTTAGGTGTTTAGTGCATACTATACATGTTTTTGGTTTTTGGCATATGATGGCAAATTTTTGGCACTGTTTGCATGGCTTTCCCGTTGCTAGAGACCCCTGTTGGACTCCCGTTACCCGAACCCAACCGTTTTTAATGGGAGACTGATTATTTTTTTTCTTTTTTTAGAGGAAGAATTAAGATAGATTTTGAATTTTGGACAGCTGTAGTAAATGCTTTAGTGATCAGTCTACTTCTGGCGGAGATTGTCTGTAGTGGTAGCTAGAGTGAGTGTGTGTGTGTGTGTGTGTGTGTGTGCGCGTGTGTGTGTGTGTGTGTGTGTGTGTGTGTGTGTGTGTGTGTGTGTGTGTGTGTGTGTGTGTGTGTGTGTGTGTGTGTGTGTGTGTGTGCGTGTGTGTGTGTGGACAATATAAATTTTAAGACTCATGAAATAAATGAGTGAAAATACTGGGTGCTCCAGACGGCAGGAGGCACCATAGACCTGAACACCACACGGCCCTCCCTCACCTCCTGCGGCCAGATTCACGAAGCAGTTACGCAAGCACTTACGAACCTGGGGCCAGATTCACGAAGCAGTTACGCAAGCACTTACGAACCTGTACATCTTTTCTCAATCTTTGGCGGCTTTGGTTACAATTATTAAACAGTTAATGAGCTCCGAAGCACCAAGAGGCTGTTTATATCAATAACAACAGTTGATTGGCAAGTTTTCATGCTTGTAAACTGTTTAATAAATGTAACCAAAGCCGCCAAAGATTGAGGAAAGATCTACACAAGTGCTTGCGTAACTGCTTCGTGAACCTGGCCTTGGTTCGTAAGTGCTTGCGTAACTGCTTCGTGAACCTGGCCCCAGGTTCGTAAGTGCTTGCGTAACTGCTTCGTGAACCTGGCCCTGGTTCGTAAGTGCTTGCGTAACTGCTTCGTGAACCTGACCCCAGGTTCGTAAGTGCTTGCGTAACTGCTTCGTGAACCTGGCCCCAGGTTCGTAAGTGCTTGCGTAACTGCTAAGTGAACTTGGCCCCAGGTTCGTAAGTGCTTGCGTAACTGCTAAGTGAACTTGGCCCCAGGTTCGTAAGTGCTTGCGTAACTGCTTCGTGAACCTTGCCTCTGGGCCTGACATGTTCTAACCATGTATCTAAATTTCAGATACATGATCGGGGATCATGATGAATCTCAGTCTATCTCACTGTAAATGTTTATGTTACAGAATTTGTCATTCCCACCATGATGTGTATTAGTCAGTATTACTTATTATAAAGTTTTATGTGAGAAAATATTAATTTGAGTTTCGCTAGAGAGAGAAATGTGTTTGTTTTGTTTAACTGTGAATGAATTGGTGGGTGTGGAGAGGTTAGTCTTGCTACTGGTGGTGGTGGTGGTGGTTGGTGGTGGTTGGTGCAGTGATCTCTGGTGGTTGGTGGTGGTTGGTGCAGTCTTGTTACTAGTGGTGGTGGTGGTGGTTGGTGCAGTCTTGTTACTAGTGGTGGTGGTGGTGGTGGTTGGTGGTGGTTGGTGCAGTCTTGTTACTAGTGGTGGTGGTGGTGGTGGTTGGTGCAGTCTTGTTACTAGTGGTGGTGGTGGTGGTGGTTGGTGGTGGTTGGTGCAGTCTTGTTACTAGTGGTGGTGGTGGTGGTGGTTGGTGCAGTCTTGTTACTAGTGGTGGTGGTGGTGGTGGTTGGTGCAGTCTTGTTACTAGTGGTGGTGGTGCAGTGATCTCTGGTGGTGGTGGTGGTAGTGGTGGTGGTTGGTGCAGTGATCTCTGGTGGTAGTGGTGGTGGTTGGTGCAGTCTTGTTACTAGTGGTGGTGGTGGTGGTGGTTGGTGCAGTGATCTCTGGTGGTAGTGGTGGTGGTTGGTGCAGTCTTGTTACTAGTGGTGGTGGTGGTGGTGGTTGGTGCAGTGATCTCTGGTGGTAGTGGTGGTGGTGGTTGGTGCAGTGATCTCTGGTGGTGGTGGTGCAGTGATCTCTGGTGGTGGAGGTGGTGGTGGTGGTGGTGCAGTGATCTCTGGTGGTGGTGGTGGTGGTGGAGGTGGTGGTGGTGATTGGTGCAGTGATCTCTGGTGGTGGTGGTGGTGGTGGAGGTGGTGGTGGTTGGTGCAGTGATCTCTGGTGGTGGTGGTGGTGCAGTGATCTCTGGTGGTGGTGGTGCAGTGATCTCTGGTGGTGGTGGTGGTGGAGGTGGTGGTTGGTGCAGTGATCTCTGGTGGTGGTGGTGGTGGTGGTGGTGCAGTGATCTTGTGGTGGTGGTGGTGGTGGTGGTAGTGGTGGTGCAGTGATCTCTGGTGGTGGTGGTGGTGGTGGAGGGTGGTAGTGGTGGTGGTTTTGCAGTGATCTCTGGTGGTGGTGGTGGTGGTGGTGGTGCAGTGATCTCTGGTGGTGGTGGTGGTGCAGTGATCTCTGGTGGTGGAGGTGGTGGTGGTGGTGGTGGTGGTGCAGTGATCTCTGGTGGTGGTGGTGGTGGTGGTGGTGGTGGTGGTGCAGTGATCTCTGGTGGTGGTGGTGGTGGTGGTGGTGGTGGTGGTGGTAGTGGTGGTGGTCTCACTCGCCTGTCCGTGAGCACAATATAGTATGAAGACTAAGTCTTTATACAAGTATAGAGTATATGTATAGAAGTCTCTATAGTCTCATTGTTTGGTGCTGTTGTTCCCTCCTTCTCCTACCTTGCTCTCTCTCTCTCTCTCTCTCTCTCTCTCTCTCTCTCTCTCTCTCTCTCTCTCTCTCTCTTCTCTCTCTCTCTCTCTCTCTCTCTCTCTCTCTCTCTCTCTCTCTCTCTCTCTCTCTCTCTCTCTCTCTCTCTCTCTCTCTCTCTCTCTCTCTCTCTCTCTCTCTCTCTCTCTCTCTCTCTCTCTCTCTCTCTCTCTCTCTCTCTCTCTCTCTCTCTCTCTCTCTCTCTCTCTCTCTCTCTCTCTCTCTCTCTCTCTCTCTCTCTCTCTCTCTCTCTCTCTCTCTCTCTCTCTCTCTCTCTCTCTCTCTCTCTCCTCTCTCTCTCTCTCTCTCTCTCTCTCTCTCTCTCTCTCTCTCTCTTCTCTCTCTCTCTCTCTCTCTCTCTCTCTCTCTCTCTCTCTCTCTCTCTCTCTCTCTCTCTCTCTCTCCTCTCTCTCTCTCTCTCTCTCTCTCTCTCTCTCTCACACTATAGTCTCTCTCTCTCTCTCTCTCTCTCTCTCTCACCAAAGAAGCTCTCTCTCTCTCTCTCTCTCTCTCTCTCTCTCTCTCTCTCTATCTCTCTCTCTCTCTCTCTCTCTCTCTCTCTCTCTCTCTCTCTCTCTCTCTCTCTCTCTCTCTCTCTCTCTCTCTCTTCTCCCTCTCTCTCTTCTCCCTCTCTCTCTCTCTCTCTCTCTCTCTCTCTCTCTCTCTCTCTCTCTCTCTCTCTCTCTCTCTCTCTCTCTCTCTCTCTCTCTCTCTCTCTCTCTCCTCTCTCTCTCTCTCTCTCTCTCTCTCTCTCTCTCTCTCTCTCTCTCTCTCGCTTTGTTTTCCTATATCTCTTGTTGTCTTTCTATCACTGTCTTTCGATATCTTTCTATCGCTACCTTCGTAATCTCGCTAGTATCATTATCTCTTTGTTTTCTCGCTATCTGTTTTCTCTGTCTCTCCCCCTCCCTCTCCCCCTCCCTCCCTCCGGGGGAAAGGCATGGTGACCAAGTGGTTGAGCACCATTCCTTTCCTTCCGTCCCATCCCAAATCCTTACCCTGACCCCTTCCCAGTGCTATATAGTCGTAATGGTTTGGCGCTTTCTCCTGATAATTCCCAGCCTCCCCCCCCTGCCTCTGCACATGTTGCTACGCTTGGTGACAGGTGTTGCATGCGGTGTTGGGTGACGTGGTGTGGGAGAGCAGGAGACACCTGACTCTCTCCCACACCATCTCACATCCGTGTCCGCGCCGGTAAACATCCACATTCATCCATACACGTCCCCCACACCCACACCCGCCCTCCACCCATGGCTACACCCACACTCACACACCCGCCCTCCACCCATGGCTACACCCACACTCACACACCCGCCCTCCACCCATGGCTACACCCACACTCACACTCACACACCCGCCCTCCACCCATGGCTACACCCACACTCACACACCCGCCCTCCACCCATGGCTACACCCACACACTACCCACACTGCCATCTCGTCTCCACGCGATCTTAGAAACCGTGATTTTCGTCGTTTAAGGGAGAATTGAGGAAGGCAGAATAGTTCTTGTAGGTAAGACAGCATGAGTAACTAGGGCGGTGGTGCCCAATAGTAACGGTGAGGAATTACGCGAATTCAGAAGCGTAGACTTGTTTTGGCAGGCAGTTTTGTTTATCTTATTTATTCTACCACAGAGGTAGCCAGACATTTACAATGCTAACCAGCATATATACATTTTCTTCTGTCCTCCATGGACAGGGTGAGAGATGTGTTAAACATATAGTTCAGGGATATATTGAACAATCAACCACAGAAGGTGATTGTTGTGCTTTTAAAATGCTAATCTAACCTACAGACAGAAATACTCTACACATATTTACGGTTTTGTTATATAAGGTGTTCAATGTGTCTTTTTACATAGTGTCATTAATGTGTGTTTACTAAGGTCAAATGCAATCCTCACCACACACACACACACACACACACACACACACACACACACACACACACACACACACACACACACACACACACACACACACACACACACACACACACACACACACACACACACACACACACACATTCAAGATTCTGAAGGGGATTGATAGGGTAGATAAAGACAGTCTATTTAACACAAGGGGAACACGCACAAGGGGACACAGGTGGAAACTAAGTGCCCAAATGAGCCACAGAGATATTAGAAAGAACTTTTTTAGTGTCAGAGTGGTTGACAAATGGAATGCATTAGGAGGTGATGTGGTGGAGGCTCACTCCATACACAGTTTCAAGTGTAGATATGACAGAGCCCGATAGGCTCAGGAATCTGTACACCTGTTGATTGACGGTTGAGAGGAGGGACCAAAGAGCCAGAGCTCAACTCCCGCAAACACAACTAGGTGAGTACAACTAGGTGAGTACACACACACACACACACACACACACACACACACACACACACACACACACACACACACACACACACACACACACACACACACACATACACACACATACACACACACACACACATATATATATATATATATATATATATATATATATATATATATATATATATATATATATATATATATATATATAATAACATAATATAATATAATGTAATAAATATGCGTCTCTACGTCACCAATTCCTTCTTCGACACCAGCACAAGGTTTCCTGGAGACACCCCAGGTCTAAGCATTGGCACCAACTCGACCTGGTGCTTACAGGGCGTAGCAATCTGAGAAGCGTCCAACTGACCCGCAGCTTCCAGAGCGCAGATTGTGACACCGACCACTCTCTCTCTCTCTCTCTCGTCTTTTGCGGAGTAAAGTTCCAATCCAACCAGAAGTTCCAAAATCCCCAGAGCAAAGAAGGAGGGAAGAGCAAGCATTAAAGTAAACAAGACCCGCGACCTTCACAAGGTGGAGGAATTCACTGCGGCGCTGGTAAATGCCCTTCCTGTACCGCCCTGCGATAGCGCAAGGGAGAGGTGGTCACATCTCAGGGGCACTATTTTCTACACTGCCATGTCCACCTTCGGTAAGAGGCAGAACATGTCAGCAGATTGGTTTGAGGCCAATGCAGAGGAACTGTTACCCCTTGTAGAGGAAAAGAGACAAGCTCTCTCATCCAACAAGAACCTGCCCTCAGAAAGGAACCTGCAGGCCCTCCGTACTGCCCGCAGTAGAGTTCAACAAACTGTGAGGCGCTGTGCTAACAATTACTGGCTTCGACTCTGTTCCAGCATCCAGACTGCGGCCACTGTGGGCAACATAAGAGACATGTACGAAGGGATCAAACAGGCAACAGTCCCTACACAAAACAGGACAGGAATTATCGTGTTTGAGTACATTGTGAAGCTGGAAGGGATGGTTAGACCAAGAAACACGTTGATAAGGGCGAGAGACTTCAGACGTGGGAATTATAGAAAGGTGAAGACTAATCTGCGAGAAGTCCAATAGGGTAAACCGTTTAAGAGACGACAACAAATAATATGATGGGATTCACAGCCCAGAAATGTGATGCCACCAAACACTTCGTCCCACTCAAGAACGAAGGAAACACTAAACATATCCTTGGAGACAACAAAAGCCTGGACAAAGTAGAAAGATCTTGGAAGAGTCACTAGAGGGCCACAGAGGCCAGACGGAACACAGTACACACAAGTCAGGAGACAAGCAGAGGCAAACTGCAAACACTGCTACAAAAGATAAACACCAGCCATAGTTGTTACATAGCCATACATGGAAGAAAGGAACAATAAGAGGCCATGTGATTATATTAACACGATAAGGCGAGAACTCCCTGGCAAATTACCAATAGACAGACTTGATGATATGTTAATCATTTTTGGAGAAGGACACCTGGGGGAACAAGAAAATACTAGAGATAGGAAATCTCTCTGAATTCAGGAAAAATTTAATCATTGTCACTGTATTACAACAAGGGGTCTGACAGGAGCCACTAATTTACAAACCAGTTTCACAAAAAATTATTCCAAGTGTAGAAGGTATTCACGTTGAGAGAAGCGGAGGACCTGGTTAGAATAAACTTTGTGCTGAAAGGGCCGCAGGGAGTTAAAGGGAAAAATCATGTCCGACAAACTTGGTCGAGTTCTATAAAGAAAATTATTAAAATACGACAGGAAAAAATAGGGTTGCATGAATATTTTTCTGGACTGTCACAGAGCATTTGACACCGTGCCTCATGAAAAACTGGTGTACAAGTTGGGTAAAGAAGTACCTACAGGACTGAAAACAAAATTATAGTCAGAAAAGAGGTTTCGAACTGGAGGAATGAGACAAGTAGGACCCCTCGAGGCTCTGTTCTCGTTCCTAGTTTACGCGAACGACCAGCCCGAGGGAGTGAACTGGCACAGGTCGATGTTTACAGACGATACCAAGCCGGCGAGGAGGCTGGTGATCAAGGAGGACTGCAGAGACCTACAGGTAGACATTAACACCCTCCACGAGAGGGCAAGATGTTGTCACTCCCAACAGCAGTTTAGTGATGAACATGAGGAAGCAGGAAGAATACAAGAGAAAAAGAAGCCATAAGAGAGGAAGGTCACTACAGGAATCATCAAAAAGAAATCAAGAAGAAAGAATGGTTTAAATGGAAACATTAACACCAGACACACACACACAGAGGGTAACATTGGACCATAATGGTGGTCCAGGACGGACCATGATGGTGGTCCAGGATGGACCATGGTGGTGGTCCAGGACGGACCATGATGGTGGTCCAGGTCGGACCATGTTGGTGGTCCAGAGGATGATATATGATGGGGGACTTAATTAACCGCGGGTCCGTGTTAGGTGATCCTTGTGTTGATCCTTCACCCCCTCCCTTCCCTTCCCATCTGGCAGCCTCCTCTTCCACCCTCCCTCTTGCTCTTCCACATCATTTCAGTTTCCGTGTTCCCCTTTCCTGTCACTTTTCCATTCTATCTCTCTCCCCTTCTTCAGTCTCCTCTCCTTGAATCACTTTCCCTCAGTTCTCTGTTTTTTCCTATTTTTCCGCTTTCTCCATTCGTCTCGTGTTTAACTCACTCCAAAACTCCGTTTATATTGCGTGTGACAGACCTCTCTCACCCTGAGGGTGTCCTCACTCCCCGTCCACACTCTCCTGCTTCTTCACACCATCAGCGTCACCATCACTGACACCTTCATCGTCGTCACCATCGCTGACACCATCACTGCCACCATCAACACTGTCACACATTGGCTCCGCTTCCCTGTGAAATCGCCACAACTTTTAAAAGATGTAAAGCCTTTTGTTGTGTTCCCGGGGTAGCCGGGAACGCGCGCGCGCGCGCACACACACACACACACACACACACACACACACACACACACACACACACACACACACACACACACACACGTGCGTGCGTGCGTGCGTGCGTGCGTGCTATACACCAGCGCCTTTTCCTCGTGAAACTTGTGTTGTTGACATAATAAAATCGTTTGACAAATATCTTTCACACGCTTTTATGTTAATTATTAAGGAATTCGAGAATGTTCCCGTGTGCTCCAAGCCCGCTGCATACTGTCTGAGGTGTTTGTGCATATTTGCATGCATGTTTGGTGGACTTTAGGTGTAGTACTCTCACACACATGTTCGTCCTATACTAGTGTCAAATATTATTGCCTAACACTTGAGTCATGGCGGGAACAAGTCCCAGTGGGCACATGAGTGGAAAACGTCGTTGATTTAAGGGGTTTCTCAACCACATTTTGCCCACTGGGAGGGAAGGGGTTATCATAGGGCGTGCGATGGTGCCAGTGTTGACTGTGTGTTGTGTTGCAGGGAAGGTGGACGAGAAGGCGACGCAGCTGCACGCCATCGCCTCGCTGAAGGTGCTGCTGGACGCCACCAAGCCCCAGAACGGTCGCGTGGAGACCTACCGCACCGACGGCCTCGCCCCTGACCCTCGCCCTGATAATCAGTCGCACGTAAGTGGCCGCTCGTCGCAGGGCACTGAAGTGACGCACGTGGACTCCCTGGCCTCCTCGGACGCTGCGTCGCACAGTGGCCCCCACACCAACGGCGACCTCCAGTCTGAGGGCAACTCCGTGGCTAACAATGTGAGTTATGGCACCAACTCTGTGCGCAAGATACCTCCTAAGACTCCTCAGAACGGCGACAACAATGGAGTCACTCCGGCACTCCATCCGGCCGCCCCCGAGGTCACGGACACGGAGGCCGCCCTCCCTCCCCCTCCACCCGCGGTAAGACTCGCTGACCCCCGCCCCATGGGACCTTCCCCGGGGTCGCATGACCCCACCTGGACCCCCGGGTCCCATGCCCACCTCAGGGCAGGCGTGGGCTCGGGGCACAACCCCTGTGCTCGTCTCCTCGGCCTCATCTGGCACCTGGCAAGACCACACACACTCATCTCCTCACTATAATGACTGCTGCTTATCACAATATGCAGCTTAACACCACATAGTCAATACATATTACCCCCCCCCACAAGCACCCCTCACCCACCCCACCAAAACCCATCTTCACACCACCACACACACACACACACACACACACACACACACACACACACACACACACACACACACACACACACACACACACACACACACACACACATGCTATACCTATGTAAGGTACAGTCTGCTAAGTGACAATTTAATATTTAAATCTATTTTCCTCCAAGAAACATTAAAACCTTAGCACTTTGATTACAAGTCATCCAAATACTCTCTCAAGTTCTGGATAAATGCCGGTGCCAGATGAGGTGTGACGGGGCGTGCACTGGCACCGGGGCGTGCCCTGGCACCGGGGCGTGCCCTGGCGCCGGGGCGTGCCCTGGCACCGTGGCGTGCCCTGGCGCCGGGGCGTGCCCTGGCACCGTGGCGTGCCCTGGCGCCGGGGCGTGCTTTGGCGCCGGGGCGTGCCCAGGCACCAGGACGTGCCCTGGCGCCGGGGCGTGCCCTGGCGCCGGGGCGTGCTCTGGCACCGTGGCGTGCCCTGGCGCCGGGACGTGCCCTGGCGCCGGGGCAGACGGGGGTGCCAGAGGGGAGGGGACCAGCATGCTGCACGGTGTGTGGCAATGAGGCGTGCAACATCGTCCCTTCAACGTTGGTGCTCGAGTGTCGTTATTCTGGCACGTTGCCTCCTGCTCGTTGTCTGCCAGCCTCACCTTCACTCCCCCGGAGGCTTGGGGGCCCCTAACCCAGCAAACACATGCCTTTTATGTTTTTGTTTTGCATTTTTTGCAATGTTGCAGCAATGCAATTGTGTTGTTACAATGTTGTGGTAACTTTGCTTGTTTGCTGGGGGAAAGCCCCTAGCGCAGTCCGGGTTAAGAGAGAGACTTGTGTGTATTCTGAAGTGATCCTCCAAAGGTTATAGTTCACTGTAGCGCCCCCTTAACGGGGTTCATTTGGTACTATTAGTATTGTAGTGAGCCCCCGAGAGAGAATTTAGGTATCAATCCATCCTTAACCTCATCTATGCCAAGTATAGCACTTATATGTACTACTCCAGGCATATATTAGGCCTAGGATTCCTTATATTTAAGACTGGGATTGCATATATTAGGCCTACAAGGGGTTATAGTCACAATTTTATTCATGAACTTTAGAATGCCAAAAAGTACAAAACATGGAACTTTTTTTTTTCTTCGGTGGAGGAGGGGGGATGTTCCCTCCCTGGGTGCTGCAAGGTACCATGATCTTGGTGGAGGATGTACTTAAGATGTCTCGCATGCCTGCCGCTTGGTCATCTACAACCATAGATTGCTTCTCATGCTTCTCATCTACTGGAGCGTCTACTTCCTCCAGTACGCTGGCTTCTTGCATCTTTACCGTCTTCTTTCTTAGTGTAAGGAATGTGTGTGTTGTGTCTTGTAGTGTGTTGTGCTCCCAGGCGCTCACTCCGTCCTGCACACACACACACAACCTAACCACCACGTTGCTAACGTTGTTACGACGGTGTTGCTAAAGTTGTCGCATCGTTGTAACTAACGTTGTTACGACGTTGTTGCTAAAGTTGTCGCATCGTTGTAACTAACGTTGTTACGACGTTGTTGCTAAAGTTGTCGCATCGTTGTAACTAACGTTGTTACAACGTTGTTGCTAAAGTTGTCGCATCGTTGTAACTAACGTTGTTACAACGTTGTTGCTAAAGTTGTCGCATCGTTGTAACTAACGCTGTTACGACGTTGTTGCTAAAGTTGTCGCATCTTTGTAACTAACGTTGTTACGACGTTGTTGCTAAAGTTGTCGCATCTTTGTAACTAACGTTGTTACGACGTTGTTGCTAAAGTTGTCGCATCGTTGTAACTAACGTTGTTACGACGTTGTTGCTAAAGTTGTCGCATCGTTGTAACTAACGTTGTTACGACGGTGTTGCTAAAGTTGTCGCATCGTTGTAACTAACGTTGTTACGACGTTGTTGCTAAAGTTATCACATCGTTGTAACTAACGTTGTTACAACGTTGTTGCTAAAGTTGTCGCATCGTTGTAACTAACGTTGTTACAACGTTGTTGCTAAAGTTGTCGCATCGTTGTAACTAACGTTGTTACAACGTTGTTGCTAAAGTTGTCGCATCGTTGTAACTAACGTTGTTACGACGGTGTTGCTAAAGTTGTCGCATCGATGTAACTAACGTTGTTACGACGGTGTTGCTAAAGTTGTCGCATCGATGTAACTAACGTTGTTACGACGGTGTTGCTAAAGTTGTCGCATCGATGTAACTAACGTTGTTAAGACATCTAAGTAACGATATTACGTCACAACGTTAAACAGTAACGTTATTACGTAGTAACAGCGTAAAAAAAAATCCCAAAACGTTTTGGTCAGGTTGTGTGTGTGGGGGGGGGGGGGTGTGGGGAGGGGGTAATATATTTAGGTATTAGAATGTTTGTCTCGTTCTAATTCATGTTTCTTAACCATGTTTTGTACCTCCTGGTGGCCCCCTGTGATGTCTTCACCACTCTCCCACACTTAACAACCACCTTCTGCCGTTCTTAACAATCACCTTCTGCCCTTAAATACTTTACCTTCCATAAATATTTATTTGGTAATCACCTATACGTGGTGGTATTATCCAGCATTTATCCATGACTTACTCTTACATTATAAACTTTATCCAGCACTGATTCTCACAATATAACCTTCATCCATCACTGACTTTCAGTGTAAACAGTATCCATCACTAACAGAATAAACTGTATCCTCCACTAATTCTCAGTGTAAACTTTATCCACCACTAATTCTCAATGTAAACTGTACATTTTCTCCTCTCTGTTCTCTACTGTCCTCTTCTATCTAAGTCTTTTTTTTTTAATCTCTTAATTTTATAATACTTTTGTAATGTTCTCTTTGTGTATATGTCTTCGTCTATTTCTTGTGTCCTCTCCCTCTCCCAGCCTCTCCAGATATGTCCAACATCTGTCCAAGGTCTCCACAGATATGTCCAAGATCTCCACAGATATGTCCAAGATCTCCACAGATATGTCCAAGATCTCCACAGATATGTCCAAAATTTCCACAGATATGTCCAAGATCTCCACAGATATGTCCAAGATCTCCACAGATATGTCCAAGAACGTATATTCTCGATTATTGCTGCCTTCATCAACCATGCTTCCATGTTCTTGTGTCTGGATCTTATTACTTTTGCAGCAAGGACTACAGTCATGAGTCTTGGGGCTCTCAAGTCCCTCGTGAGGCACTCTCAAGTCCCTCGTGAGGCTCTCGCAATTCCCTCGTGAGACTCTCTCAAGTCCCTCGTAAGGCTCTCTCAAGTCCCTCGTGATGCTCTCTCAAGTCCCTCGTGAGGCTCTCTCAAGTCCCTCATTAAGCTCTCAAGTGTCTCGGGTGAACTATCGTACCGTCTTGGTCTGCTGTACTCAAGCCGCGGAGCACTGGGTGAGATGTTGTGGCTGAGGAAGCCAGCATGGCATAGCGGAAACCCTACAACCTACGTTAACTTTATACATTTGTTATCAAAACGCGTATTTTGGTGTGTGTTTCCTTTGTAGTTGTTGTTGACTCTCGTAGTGCTCTCATGGCTCTCGGGTCCTTTAATCTGGTTCATCCAGTAGTTGTCGAGATCCAACATTGGCTGTTTCTTGTTCACAGTAAATTTAAGTCGTTTGAGTTTTGTTAGGTTCCCAGCCATATTGGTGTGTCTTTAAATGAGCGTGCAGATGCTGCCGCCAAGTAAGCTGTCCGCTCTTGTCCCATCTCTCGAAAAGGTATTCCATATTCCGACTTTTACCTGGTTATCCATTCCTCCATCCTTACCCGTTGGCAGGCTTCTTGGTCGTCTGTTACTGGTAACAAACTACGTACTCTTAAGTGTTGTGTTTCCTCGTGGCCGTCCTCCTACCACCGTAACCGGCGATGGGAAACAGCTCTGGCGAGGTTGCGTATTGGCCATACTCGCTTAACCCATGGTCACTTGATGGAGCGCCGCCCTGCTCCTTATTGTCCTAGTTGCATTGTCCCTCTTACGGTCGTGCATGTCCTTCTTGAATGTCCTGACTTCCGGGACGAGCGTGTGTCTTGCTTTCCGACCGCCCCTCGCAGTCACCTGTCCCTCAATAGAATTCTTGGTGACTCGGATACTTTTGATATCTTTCGCCTTATGCGTTTTTGTTCTCGTGTTGGCATCCTTGGTGATATTTAGCGCCCTCTGATTATTCCGCACATTTGATGGTGCTACATAGCCTTCCCGGTTTGGTGCCTTCTTTTGATAATTACTTACTTACTTGGTGTGTGTGTGTGTGTGTACTCACCTATTTGTACTTGCGGGGGTTGAGCTTTGGCTCTTTGGTCCCGCCTCTCAACTGTCAGTCAACTGGTGTACAGATTCCTGAGCCTACTGGGCTCTATCATATCTACATTTGAAACTGTGTATGGAGTCAGCCTCCACCACATCACTGCCTAATGCATTCCATCTGTTAACTTCTTGTACATTGAAAACACGTTCTTTCTAACGTCCCTGTGGCTCATTAGGGTACTCAGTTTCCACCTGTGTCCCCTTGTTCGCGTACCACCAGTGTTAAACAATTTATCCTTGTCTACTCTGTCAATTCCTTTGAGGATTTTGAAGGTA